TCTTGAATTGATATTGGAATTAATATATATATTTTATTTAATTCAATTAATTTACAGTTAAATATTAATTAATTCATAATATTTAATATCATAAGAAATAAATATAATATTAACATTTTACAATATAAACAGAAAATTATTATGTTTATTTATTAAAATTAATGATTAAAACATAACTTAAAAATAAAAACAATATAACAAACATAAAATATAACTACATAATCCAAAAAATTAAAGATTACCTCAATCAAGTGAATAATTACACAATATAATTTCCTAAAAAAATGAAGAAACATAAATTTGGTTAATATTTATATATATGTAGTTTCAATCAAATAATAATAATCAAAATATAAATGAAATTGAATGTTAATTTATATAAATAAACTTTACTTACCCAATGATTATCTCCCAACAATGTTTCCTGGAAAACAAAATGAAAAAAAATTAGAATTACAAATAAATTAATTAATAAAACAAATTAGTGTTTAATTAAATATAAAAAAACGATGGAAGAGAAAAAGAAAAGAAGATTAAGAAGATATAACTCTAAAATTATATGAATATAATGCAGTTATAAACATCATACAATTAATCTAGCAGTATTTGAATGGAAGAGTAAGAGATGGGACAGATAAGGGAGGAGAAGAAAAATGAAAAAAAAGAAGAAAGGAAAAAAGAAATGATCGGTAAGAGTGTTTTGGATATATATAGACTATTTTACCTATGTGTGGTATGTCGGAAAAAAACCCACATAGGTAACTAACCTAAAAGCGGGAATCCAAAAAAGCAAAAAATTTGCATTCCCGCTGAAATTTACCAACTAGTTTTAACGGACCAACATTGATATATAACCTAAAATTTATTCAAAATAACAAATCTAACAATACTAATATCAAATACTTAATACTGAAATTTTATCATTAATTATTGAAATTCATTAAAAAATTATCAAAAAAATTATTGGTAACTAAAAATTGAGCTAAAACAACAGATCTAACAATATCAATTAATATTCAATAAACTAATGAAAATGTTCGATGGTTTAAATTTTAGAAAAAAAAATCAAATATTCAAACTTAATGCAAAAAATATAAAAATATTTAAAAATATTTATGCTTTCTCACCAGTTAGTTCACCTCCCCATGATGTATTCTCTTCTCTAATCCTCCCCAGATCTTCCCCTTCCTCCTCCACCCACTACTTTGTCTCTGACAACGATGGCAATCATAACCCACCTCTCCAAGAAGTTTGCCTCCACTAGATCCCATATTCCCTTTTAACCTTCAATTTCCAAAAACTGTTTCGCATTGATGGGTTCTGCGATTTAGGAACACTAGATGCAAGGGGATTTTGGAATTACTGATAAACCAATGGATGATTAAAGTAACAAACAAAATATGTAATTCCTTACAAGGTTGTGGAATTTTGGAATGGAGAAAGGAACGCGCAAATTATTATATAAGGGAATTAAGAGAACTAAAAATGCCACATTTTCAAAAAAAAAAAAACTTACCCTGTTCAAAGGGCAAAAAAAAAAAAAAGGAAAAAAAGCATTAGCCAGGAAACGAAAATTGGGTCGTCATCAACATCCCTTTCCTTGCCTTTCA